CCTTTCTGCAACACTGGGTGATACAACATTATGGCCCCCATTTCACACGTGTGTGTGCACATGCATGTGCACAAAGGGTTAATAAATTGACCAGAACCTCAAAGACAATGGCAGTCAGTGGTGGTTAGATGTAGGTAGTCTCCCTCCAAACCCCGTGTTTAACTGCCGCAAGATAGGCACTTCTCCAGCTGTAATCACCCAATGTCTAATTCTTGTCCACTGCATAGATAAAATCAATTCACTGAGACAGATGTATTGCAGTAGAGAAAGAGTTTAATAATGCCAGGGCTAGTTGAGCAGGATGAGAGTAATTACTCAAATCAGCCTCCCGAAAAACTCAGAGGCTAGAGTTTTTATGGATAATTTGGCCGGTAGGGGGCGATCAGGGATGGGTGCTGCCGATTGGTTGGGAACAACACCATAGGGGTGTGGAAAATGGTTCTTGAGTGAGTTAGCCTCTGCGTGGTGGCCACAGGACAGGTTGAGTCATGAGTAGTGGCTCTGGGTAGGGTCAGTGAATTGCTAGAATGCAAAAGTCTGAAAAACATCTCAAAAAAATCTCAGGTTCTACAATAGTGGTATCTATAGGAGAATTTGGGGGAAGTCACAAATCTTGCGCCTCTGGCCACATGACCCCTGAGCAAGAAGGGATTATAGAAAAGCCAACTGGAGATCATTTAACTATACCCACATTTGAGCAGAATCCAGGCCTCTCACATAATCCTAATCTTGTGGCCTTTCATTGGTCTTACAAAGGCAGTTTCAGCTCCTGAACAAGAAAGGGGTCAGTTTTAGGGAAGGACTCTTATCATCCTTGTTTCAAAGTTAAACTATACATTAAATTACTCCCGTGGTTAGCTTGGCCTATGCCCAAGGGTGAGTAAGGGTAGCCAGACTGTGAGGCGAGAAGCAAGATGTATTCAGTCATGCTAGACTTCTCTCTCTGTCATCAACTATGCAAAGTTGGTTTCACAGCCTTGTGCCCTTCATGTGGTACTTCAAACAAGGAACATATATTCCTATCACCATCCTATCAGTTTCTATCAAGAGTTATACCCTCTCTGCTTCCTCCTTGAATCCTATTCATGAATTCAAAACCCAGGTGAGGTTCTACCTACATATAGAAACCCATTTCTTATGCTCTCTGCTTACTCTGCTTCCTGGAGCATAACTTGCTATGCATTCATATGGCACTGTCAGCTGATTACTGGGCATTATTATAAATGATCTGCCTGGAGATATGTCCTGTACCCGTAACCAGTGGAAAAGCATCTTGAGATCAGGAGCTACATCATGCACTTCCTCCACAGCATCTATTGCTGGTCTAGAATGTAAAGGCACTTAAGAAACATTATTTGACTGCAGCTTCCAAAACTAAAGTTTAGTATAGACACTAAATCAATAAGGTCTATAAAAACACCTCAATCATAATCTGGGATGTGTGATTCCAGTTTTGAACTGCCTTGCCTCTTAGAAGACTCTACATGGATATGGTGCCCAAGGGTAATCAAACAAGGAGAAGTGGGCAGCAAATCCAGTGCCCCGAGTTTGAGCTCTGAACTGCCTTCCATTCCCTACTCAGGTATCCCTCTGTTCCCCTCACAGGCTTATTTCCGATACACACCAGTTTCACAATAAGACAATTCGTTCTGTGGAAATGCAAAGTTTTAGAGTCAGACAATTAATAACTGAGGAACCTTGAGCAAATGACTCAGTTTCTCTGAGTCTCAGTTTCTTATTTGCAAAGGAATGATAATAATTCTTACCTCAGACTATTTACCACAGCCTCATGTGGTTGTAACAAAGATTAAAAGAAGCAATCAAGCTGGGTACCGTGGCTCATACCTGTAATCTCAGCTTTTAGGGAGGCAGAGGCGGGAGGATAGCTTGAGCCAGGAGTTCGAGACCTGCCTGGGCAATATAGCGAGACCTCATTCTTCACAAAAAGGGAAAAAGAAAAAAAGAAAAAAAAAAAAAAAAGAAGCAATCAATATATGTAAAACGCCTGACACAGCAGATATTCAGTATATATTAATGCCCCTTTCTTTCATTTCTTCCTGTACCAAGTTAAAAAAAAAAAAAAAAAAAAAAAAAAACAAAGCCCCATTCACCTATTAGACAAGGCATCGGCCTCCTTAAAAAAAATTTAAAAAGGAACCAATTTATCTGTATAGCTATAACAAAAAGGTTATAACTATATTGACATTTAATGTTTAATTAAAGATTTGCTGTTTACAGAGGACTTTCACAAGTCTTGGCATTAATCCTCAGAAAAAGTTGCATAAACTAATCAAAACAAGGATTATTATCCTATTATTTTACAAGAGAAAACTAAGAAAACTAAGCAACATTTTGAGTGCCCTCAAACAAATTACACAAACTTACTCAACTACTAAGTCACAAAGCTTTGTCTTAAACCTAGAGAATTAAGATATTTCTGGGAAAGTAGCAGAAAGAGCTCAGACTGGCCTCTAGAGCACATGACTGTTGGAAAAAACACAACGCAGGACATTCACTATGCATTCCCTGAGCCATCACAGCAAAGGATTTTGCTTCTTTCTCCCCCACCCATCCTCAGGTTATGCTCCCTTCTATGGACATTCTCAGCACAGAGAAGGAAAGTATCCCCTTCCCATTTCCAAGTAGTGTTAAGAACAGGGTGACAGCTATCCAATTCTCTTCTATCTAAGGAAAGAGACATGGCAAAAAGTCTGGGAGGCACTGTGCGCATCGTATGGTATGATGCAAACAATTTCAGCCTGACGTGCCTCCATTTTCAGCTGCAGGATAGAGTCAATTTAATTGTGTCTTTTTTGTGATAGATAATTCATGAAACTGGTAGTGATATGGTTTAAGTTGGCAAAGGTGCTAGATAATTTCAATATAATCAGAAATGACCCTCTGGAAACTAAATTTAAAAACTGGAAAAGAAAATTTCTAAAGAATGCCACATACAATAGTCTAAAAAGACATACAATTTAGAAATAAATTTAGACAAAAACTGTGCAAGACCCTTACACAGAAATCTGTAAGATATTGATAGGGAAATTTTTAAAGAGTTGAAAAATAAAGATAATACTATGTTTATGGATTGGAAGACTCAGTATTGTTCTTCATTCTTAGCAAATAAATTTATAGACTCGATGTAATCCCAATCAAAATCCTGCCAAGCTTTTTTTAAAAGAAATACACAAACTTATTTTAAAGTATACATGGAAAAGAAAAGAATGTAAGGGGGAGAAACAATGTTTAAAAAGACAACTTACACTACTGGATTTTAAAACTTAACCATGAAGCTATAGCAATCAAGATGGTGGAATAGAATAGAAAGTTCTGAAACAGATCCAAACATGTAGGATGACCCTGTGGTATGCAAAGGTTTTTTAGATAGGAAAGGAAAAATCACTAAAAATAATTTTTTAATTAAAAATTTTAAAGTGCTTAAATTTGACTTTTTCAAAAGTCAATCCTTCTGCTGTCTTCAAAAGAAAACTTGAAAAAAATAAAAAAGCAGACTGGGAGAAAATATTTGCAACACCTGAACTGACAAAGGAGTACATCCAGAATAAATAAGGCACTTTTCCAACTCAATAGGAAGGCAATTAATACAATTTATTAAAAAGGACAAAAGATTTTAGTAGACTGTTCATGAAGATATGTAAACATCCAAAATGTTAAACATTAGTCATTTGGGAATACAAATTAAAACTGTAATGTGATATTACTCTATACCCACTAGAATAGCTAAAATTAAAGACTGGCGATATCAAATGTTGCCAAGGACATTGAGAAGCTGAAATTTTGATTCACTACAGGTGAGAGTGTAAGATGGTACAACTACTTTGAAAAGCAGTTTAGCAGTTTCTGACAAAGGCAAAAGCATTCTTAGCATAAAACCCAGCAATCCCAGTCACAGGTGTTTACCCAAGAGAAATAAAAGCACATGTATACACTAAAGACTTGTACATAAATGTTCATAGCAGCTTTATTCATCATGGCCCAAACCTGGAATCAACACAATGTTCATCAGGTGAATAAACAAATCATGGTATGTTCATATAATGAAATATCTTAATTTTTTTTAAAATGACACATCACCAAAGGGTTGAATCACACAGACATTATACTGAGTGTAAGGAGACAATACAGAGAAGTGTACAGTGCATGATTTTATGGTGTGAGATTATAGAACAGGCAAAGTTGGCCGAGCGCAGTGGCTCATGCCTGTGATCCCAGCACTCTGAGAGGCTAAGGTGGGCGGATCACCTGAGGTCAGGAGTTTGAGACCAGGCCAATGTGGTGAAACCTCATCTCTACTAAAAATAAAAAAAATTAACCAAGTGTGGTGGCAGGGGCCTGTAATCCCAGCTACTTAGGAGGCTGAGGCTGGAGAATCACTTGAACCTGGAAGGCGGAGGTTGCAGTGAGCCGAGATCACACCATTGCACTCCAGCCTGGGTGACAAGAGTGAGACTCTGCAAGAAAAAGAAAGAAAGAGAGAGAGAGAGAGAGAGAGAGAAGGCAAAGTTAATCTAGAATAATAGAAATCAGATCAGCAGTTTCCTAAAGTAGGGGAGAAAGGTAATTGACCACAAGTGGCCTAAGGAAACTTTCTGGGGAGGTCAAAATTATTCCATATCTTGATCTGGTTGATGTTCTACAGTGTCATGAACTTGTGTATTTAAAATATATGAATTTTATGGCAGGTAAATTATATTTCAATAAGGTTGACTTTTCAAATCCAACCTTGGTCAAACATCCTTAGGTATGCTTTGTCTCTCACATTATAAAATTGTACACAAATACATGTCTAAAACAGAGATTAGTCTGCGTGAGGGTATAGATTTTACCGAGTTCCCCTCTTGATGTTCTAAGTACTAGCTCCCCAGAATGTCGGTTCTGATATTCTTAAGATGGTGAGTAGTGAAAGAGGGTAATATTTCTAAAATTACTAACTAAATTAGATGATGACTATGCTCACAAAGAAATAAAGTTCCAAAGGCTTTTTAAAAAAGATTTTATTTTAGGGAAAATTACAAACATATTCAAGAAGAGCATAATAAATTTTTATGTACCCATCATGCGGCTTCAATAGTCACCACTGTATGGCCTATCTTGTTTATCTATACCACCAGATGCCCCTCTCCCTCCCTGCCTCCCATTGAATTTTTTTAAAGCAAATCCTGGGGGTCATATTATTTCATCTGTAAATGCAAGAAGCTTTGAAATTGGATTCATTTGCTCATACTGTGTCCTCTGCCTGAAATGTTTATCCCTTATTCTTTATGTGACTGGTTCCTTCTCATCTTTCAGGTAAGACTTTTTCAGAAAGATCTTCCCTGGCCTCCCTATCTAAAATAGCTCACCTTCTGCCTGAACCCAGCTTCTTCTTGTCCTGGTAGTCTGGACGCTGGGCTTTCATATTATTTTCCACAATTCGCAATTATTAGTTACTGGCTTTTGTGTGTCTTCTCAACTACACTCTAAGTGCCACTGGCAAAGTATTATCACTGCTTCTCATTAATGAATCATCTGAAAAATCAGCTTTTCGGAGGTCAACAATGAACCTTTCTCTTGTATGTGGTGATGGTCTGAATAACCACCAAAGATGAGTTGGTATTGCTTTTCAAGAATTTTTTAAAGCCTTATCGTAAGGTATCAAGTAGCCAATAGGAGTGTTTCTTCTTTTGTATGCTTTTGTAATAATTATGGAATGTTATAAGTGAAAGAGGCTTGAGAAATGACCTACATTCATAGATCTGTTGGCTTTTAAAATGAAAAGAATCCTTAGAAAACATTTTGTTAAACAGATCACAGATAAGAAAACTTTATAACCCATATCTAATGTTGCAGAATTTGTGATTTACAAATAGCCATAATCTGAACCCTTCATTTAGAAAAATAGTATACTTACTTGAGTGAGAATTGAACCTCATAAAATATCAGAAAAATGACTCAATTTTATGCTATCTATATACACAGTATGCTCAGTTAAGCCATTTATTTGACAAATATTTATTTCCCACCCATTATGTTCCAAAACCATTCTTGCAGCTATATCAGTGAACATAACAATAAAGTTTACATTCTAGCCCATGTGTCAATATTGTAAAAGTACATCCTCTTGAATTTGCTATACAATCATTGTAAGGTAATTTGGAAGAGAACACTTTTTATTATGCACTCAATAAAGGCAGAATACAACATTTCCTTGTCAAGCATATAATGCCAAAATCCCAATATCATTATTTAGCTTCTCCGTTTACTAAACTCTAATGAATGAGCCCGCACCATACCATAAAGTTGCAGTAAGCTGGTGGCTGGGATTGGTGAGAACATTTTACCCCAGGAGCTTCCCTCCTGTGGACTCACTGATGTGCAAAGTGACTGCAGGAGTCCAAACCTTGTATAACAACCCTGGGATGGAATAAGATGCACCTTTGGGTCCAGAAGTGCTCCAAACATCTAACATATACACGTTTGAGTTGCAAGTGACCCAAAATTAATCATTCTGCCAAGTCTGATTCATTTTCTTCTTCCTCCTTCTTCCCTTTTTTTTTTTTTTTTTTGGATCAAGATGTGCTTTGTTGCTGAGGCTGAAAGGCAGTGGCGTGGTCTCAGCTCCCTGTAATCTCTGCCTCCCAAGTTCAAGCAATTCTGCCTCAGCCTCCAGAGTGGCTGGGACTACAGGTGCCACCACCATAACCAGTTAATTTTTTGTATTTTTAGTAGAGATGGGGTTTCACCATGTTGGCCAGGCTGACCTCAATCTCCTGACCTCAGGTGATCACCCGCCTTGGCCTCCCAAAGTGCTGGGGTTACAGGCATGAGCCACTGCACCTGGCCCTGCCAAATATGATTCATAAAGAAAGCGAGCCTCCATCCTATTTTCTCCAAACACTTATGTAAACTATTCTATCCACTTTCCTCACAATTAATTCACTCCTGTTAGAGCACCATCCCCAAGGTGTAATTGGGGAAATATGGGTGTCCATACAATTTGGGAAATATGGTACTTGATACTTTCTTCTTTCCTGATACTTTCTTCTACATTGGACATAGAATCAGAGGCAACCTCAGAAGCAAAGGGGCAGCAGCCAAGGAGGTGGGGACAAGCAATGAGAGAGAAGGCAGAATTGGAGCAGGAGTGGAGCAGGTGCAAGAGTGTCTCCTATTATCGCAGTCTGATGTCTGTCTCATCAGGGTTCTCTTCCACCTCCACTATATGCAAGGGAGTTTTCCTAATTCCCTGATAAAAACTATTCCGATTCTCTGGATATTTACTTGGCTCTCTTGTGATGTTTCTAGGAACTCTAGCTAGACTTATTGCTTTACCTGCAGTCCAGGAGGTATCCACTCAGTGTAATCACAACAGCACAGCACAGGAAAGCCAGCCTAATAAGTCTGAGATTTTGAAACAATGAAGCTAAAATAATTTTATGTTACCCCTCTAGAAAAGAAAATAACATGAATTGCATTTTTAGAATTATAAAATAATGCAAATGTCTTATTTTAACAGCTCAGATCTCAGTTGCCAAGTAACAAAACCCACAAGTTCTCTGTATCTTCCATGAGCTTTCAAAGTTTGTTTCTGGCATACTTCAGGGCAAGGAGGAACTTGTTGCTAAATATATTGCATGTTCTCCCACAGGAAACTTGGAGACTTCTCAGAAAAACCTGGGAGGTAGAAGGGGTGATTGAAAAGTCACCACTAGCTTTTCCTTCTGAGCCATTAAATCTTTTACTAATGAAAGACAAAGATTAATTGTTCCTCCCCAAGATGAATGTTGCTTTGAGAAGCCAGAGGCATTTCTGAGAAGATGCAGCATTACCCTGGTGAGTTCAAGAAAGGGCATGTTGGAAAACAAGACCAAGATTCTGTCTTCCTTGTAGTTTTCAAACACGCCTAACCCTGCAAAATTCTTGTCAGTGCACAAAACTAGATGCCCAACCCTATGTCTTGTCCTTCTGTCCTATACTCTTGATGAAAATCAATGATGGCCTCCTCTGAACTCTTATATACCTTTTCTCAATATAAGCTCTGTCTACTCATCACATGCTTCTCTGCTACTAGTGAACACTTGTGATACCCCTAACTAGATTACAAGCTTCCAGAGGGCAGATACTTCTTATATTTCTTGTTTATTCCCCACTGGCCTAGAAAAAATGCTCTATACATAACTTCTAAATAAAAAACTTACTACGTGACTAAATATACCATATATGCCTAAGCTAAGAAAACATAAATAAATATGCTCCAAGTTCCCTGTTACCTTCCCTAAATAACAAACACACACACCCCCATAGATACTAAAAGGAAAGCCTCTTCTTTATTTCCATTAGCTTCAATTTCTAACTTCTTTTGGCCTATACTGATTTGTTATAGTAAAATATTTGAGGCCAGGCCCAGTGGCTCATGCCTTAAATCCCAGTACTTTGGGAGGCCAAGGTGGATGGATCACCTGAGGTCAGAAGTTCGAGACCAGCCTGGCCAACATGGCAAAACCCTGTCTCTACTAAAATTATAAAACATTAGCCTGGCATGGTGATACACACCTATGATCCCATCTGTTTGGGAGGCTGAAGCAGGAGAATTGCTTGAACCCAGAAGGCGGAGGTTACAGAGAGCTGAGATCACACCACTGCATTCCAGCCTGGGCAATAGAGAGAGCCTCTGTCTCAAGAAAAAAATATATATACATATATATATATATATATATATATATATACATATATATATATATATATATATATATAAATGGGCCTGTACTTAGTTTCACATTGTTTGTCTTCAATTCCATGATTGTATAGAATCATAGTGTTCCACGGCGTTCTCCCTATTTCTTGTTTTCTGGTCTCCTTTGTGGGTTCCTGCTGTGCTCCATCCCTTGGTTGCACTCCTTGGCACTGAGCCCATATTCCTGCTTCAGCAGTCACTTCAGGTCATATCATCCATTACTCTCTATTTACTGGTGACTGCCAATTTTCTACCTTTAAACTAGCACTCTCCTCCGAGTGCTAGGCCCACAGAACCAATTGCCTACTGGACATCTGCATATAGTGCCCCACAGACACCTCAAACCGTATATGACAAAACCAGAATTATATTCCTCTCCAAATGTACTCTCGGGGCTGTGTTCCTGATCTTCAAAAATGAGATTATTGTCAAGCCAGTTACCTAAAGCAGACACTGTCCCCTTGACCTGGCTAACCACTGTTATCAGTGGCTTCGGCTCTGCCTCTCACATATATCCTTTTATTTCTATGATCACCAGGCTAGTTAGGCACTAGTGTCTCTCACCGTATTATTACAGTCCTTGTCTAATGGGTCCCTCTATAGATGCATGGGTTTAACCCCTTCAAGTAATGTAATGCTGAAGTCACCGTGACCATTCTAAAATATAAATTTGATCAATTCCTTAGCTTGACTTAAAAACTTCTGTGTAACCTCATCCAGCCCCAACACTAGCCTTCTTTCTATCCCATCTAAATGTCTTTCCTACATCAAATGTGCTACACTCTCTCTTATTTTTTGGGTCTTGGCCCATGCTATTGCCTTGGCCTATCACACTCTTTCTGACCCCACCCTAGCTTTGTCCTAACTTATGCTTATTCTCCATTTTAATCTCTGCCTTTTCTGAGAAGCCCTTTCCAGCCCCCCAGGTAGAATTTAGGTATTAGGTACCTCCTTCATATTTCCAGAGCATGTGTATTCTCTCTTTGATAGCATTCACCAAATCATTTCCTGGATGATTTCCCATTTGCCACTCCCATGAGGACACAGATTCTGTTTTGTTCAAAGCTTAATCCCCAGCAGCTGGCCTAACTATCTGGAACATAGTATACACTCAGAAAATGTTTGCTGATCAGAGTCTTCAATAATACATCACATGAAATCACCTTCCCAAAGTGAGTGGGATACACTAAAGAGAAAAACATTTCTTACCTTGTATTTGAATGCAGAAGTGGGTTTTCCCCTTTCTCAACCTTATTGGTTGTTTTAGTCATCAAGCAAAGATGATTTCACCATTAAGTGAGGCAGAGGTAGGAACAGTACAGCAGAGACAGAGACAAACAGTTCCAGTGTCCAGTGAGAGCAGACTTCCCTTTCTCGCCAGGTTCACAAAGAGCAGGGGCCTGGAAGCCTCTATGATTCCCCTGGAACTGCTATTTTCTTTGATTTATGACTGGTTTCAGATGGAGCCAATGATAATGTACATTCCAAACTTCTGGCACACTCTGGAAGGTTGCAGTTAACTTTTCTATGCACATTAAACACATAATAATGATGGTCATTCAGACCTTATACTTGGCAGATTTTACACCGAAGAGAACCTGTTTCTTATTTGGCTGTTCAGATCACAAGGAATGACCATTAAATTCAAAGGGATTCTGGGTTTGACTCTCTCCAAGTAGATGCTCAATAAGGTAAGAAAAAAGTGGTCTATTCAGTGGTTAGTAATCTCCTTAAACTGTGCATTTCAAAATTAAAGACCCATCTGTAATCCTAGCGCTTTGGGAGGCCAGGACAGGGAGAATCTCTTGAAGTCAGGAGTTTGAGGCCAGCCTGGGCAACACAGCAAGACCCCATCGCTACAAAAAATAATAAATACAAAATTAGACTGTGTGCTGGGCTATAGCCTGTAATCCCAGCTACTCAAAAGGCAGAGTCAGGAAGATTGCCTGAACACTGGAGTTTAAGTTTTTAGTGAGCTATGACTGTGACACTATACTCCAGCCTGGGTGACAGAGCTTGTCTCAAAAAAAAAAAGGTAAAGGCCAAAGCACAAAGAAACCCACCATCTTACTCAGAATGGATTAAGGAGACTGTTTTCAAGGAAGTGATTAAAACTAAAGGTCTTAGCTAGCAAAGGCTGTAGAACCTGTTACTTCCTTTCTGAGCAAACAAACTGCCTAAATTAAATAATCACTCCACCAAAAGGCATTTAAAGGTCACTTGTAGCAGACTCCTTTTGTCAGGAACATCCACACCAATTATTTCTGGTGTGCTGGGAATACTAGCTACCCTGTAAGAAGGAAAAACAAAACAAAGCAAAAAATGAGCAAGCGAAACAGTTGATTTGTCATATTTCTTGTGGTAGCGTATCTTAAATCCAGCAAACAGACCCTAGAAGAACAAAGGAAAAATCAGCCTTTCAGCACTGAACTTACAAACCTAACCCTGATGCATGAGGTCTCAACTCATACTGGGCCTTATTTAGAGTTATCTAGGTCTTGGGTATTCTGATTTCTCCAACAGCTAGGTGCAGGTGTGGTATGGTCAAACAAACACAAGATTCAAGTCAGGAGGCCCAAATTTAAATCTACACCTTTACATATAACTCAGACATATTACCGAATGTCTCAGTATTTAAGAATTTTCCTCTTCAACAGGAAGATAGTGATATGTGTAACACCAGGTTACAGTGGTACTGAAATGAGGTGATATATCTAATCTTTTAGATTAATCTTTTAGAATAGCTTATTCAAGGGTCCTATATGCAATGTGTGCACAGTAAATTCTAGTGTAAGAAATAAGCTGTGTACACTTGGCCAGCCAATTCACTCCATTTCTCTGGATTTCAGTTTCCTTATCTGTAAAATGGGAAATAATAATACCAACCCGTCAGATTGTGCAGAAATGCAGAGGCAGAAGTGGTGGCAGTGAAGTCACCAAAAGCAAAGGGGGCCAGATCTTCAGCTTCCCCACTGCACACAAACTGTTCACAGGACAATCAAGGCAGGGCCTTCATCTGTATTTAAAAATGGAGTCTCGCTCTGACATCCAGCCTAGTGTACAGTGGTATAATCTCAGCTCACTGCAACCTCTGCCTCCCGTGTTCAAGCAATTCTCCTGCCTCAGCCTCCTGAGTAGCTGGGATTACAGGCGCTTGCTACCATGCCCGGCTAGTTTTTGTATTTTTAATGGAGATGGGGTTTCACCATGTTGACCAGACTGGTCTAGAACTCCTAACCTCAGGTGATCCGCCTTCCTCAGCCTCCCAAAGTGCTGGGATTATAGGTGTGAGCCACTGTGCCCAGCCTCATCTGCATTTTTGTATATGGTTTAAATGAAATAATATATGGAAAGAACTTGCATTAACTCATTATATTATAAAATGATAGCATTTCTTCTTAATATACTGTTCCATAAATTTTATATTTTATAAAACAAATACATATTGCTTAGTTAGCTACTGTTTAAGCCCTAGATTCATACCTTAGTTAATTAATAAAACCCTAATTAATCCTGAAGCTAGCTCCCATCAGGATGTTGGTCCTGGTGTTTTCCAAGGCCTGCTGAGAAGAGAAATGGACAGTGACCCTCCCATCAGATGAGATTCCAAAAAGAGTCTCCACTGGACCCACACTCAAGCACCCTGTCTCCATCTCTAGAGAATTGCAAGTAAATTCCTTCCCAGAGACCAACGCATTTCTCTAATCCATGTGTTATACCCTGGAGCCTCAAGTTACAACACACAGATTAGGGAAATGGGTTGGTCTGTCTCCTGGCTTCTCTTCTAAAAACAATCTGCTACAGAAGTACCAGAGATTAGATGGTTTCTTTGGAAAAGGTTTTACATCTACTTTACATCTTTCTGAGTTGCTTTTAGCAGCAGCCTAAAAAGCTCCTTCACTTATGCCCAACACTGCAAAATGCCGGCCTTGTGAATTTAGAAACACTATCAACACTTAGCTGCAGGTAGATATTACTTGATATTAAATCACCATGGAATGTCTGTAGAAATGCACTAGATACCAAAGACTTTCTGACTGAGGAAAGGTAAGCACAATGAAATAATTAGATATGATTTGCCATTTCTTTACAAATGTTGCTACATATGCAATTCAGCACGTGGTTTCTCACTTTCCTTATTAGCTTGTTTGTTTTCATTGTGTCTAGCTCTCTGGAAATGATTTTTTAAGCCCTTGAACATCAAATAATGCAGTATTAAAAATCAATTTACTAGGTTAATCATAATGCTTTTCTCATTATGGTGTGCACCTATAATACCAGCTACTCAGGTGGCTGAGACAAGAGGAACACTTGAGCCCAGGAGTGCAAGATCAGTTGGGGCAACATAGCAAAACCCTGTCTCTAAAAATAAAATAAAATAAATAATGCTTTCCTCAGCACTGAGAATTCAACTGAAATGTGGCTCTGTAACAATACTGAGAGAATGCAGGACTTTCAAACATCTTTAAGGAAGAAAGTGGGTATCCTGGATGTAGGCATGGAGTTATCACTATATATTTGAGGAATATATGTAAATCCAAAGTTATTTAAAATGCTTCTCTACCCAACAAACTTGGGATCATGGGGAAGACATGTGTGGTACTTACCAATATTTCTAGCTTCCCTCTTCTAGGACAAGGAGATATTTTATTGTCCTACCCCCTTCAAATTATTAACAGATATAGCCATGTGACTTCTTCTGGCCACCAGAAGGAAGTGTTTAATTTCTAACATTCTTCTGATTTGTCTGGCTACCAGGGAAGCACACAGAGCAGAGCCATCACATGAGTGAGGGCTGCCCTTGAGAATCACTCAGCCATTTAGCAGACTTGGAATGAGCAAGAGAGAAACTCTGTCACTTTATGACACAGATTTGTTTGCTTCCACAGCGTGGCCTAGCCTTTCTTACCAGTACAGAGTCCACCAAGCCCTACCATAGCAAGCTCCTTAGGGTCTCTAAGCATGTCCCCATTACTGTCCATTCACTCTTCTGACTACTCACTCTGTTCTCCTGCCTCCCTTTCAGAAAGTCCCTGATGTCGGGCCTACCAGGATAATGTACTCCATCTCAAGATCCTTAATCACATCTGCAAACATCCTTCTGTCATATCAAATAATATTTTCAGCCAGTGTCTTTTAATCATCTTATCTCACCTTGCTCCTCTACCTTCCCACACCCCTTCTCACCCTTGACTAGCACAGTGTCTTAAACATGCATCCCTGCTGAATGAATGAATGCTTAAAAATGTATCCCATATCAGAATCTCTGCTTTATCAAAAGCCCAAACAATATGGTTAATAAAGCTACACACACTCAAACATACACATAAAGAAAAAGCTAATGCACCTCATAAAAACAAAACTAGGTAAGAAGAAAGTTGCTCAGTCCAGGCTATCAAAATTAATGGGAAAAGGAAGTAAATGGACTTCTCATACTGGCACTCAGTAGTCCTTAAGAAATATAAAATAATGCATTAAAAAAAGAATGCATCAACTTGATGATTATTTGCAGAAGCACATGTATTATACATGCATATACTAGCAGTTAATATATATGCATGGAATCAAATCACCCATAGCTCAGCAGAATCTAAGCCATATGTCTTCTTGCAGAGATTTGCTTATTAGCTGTCTTCATTCCTTCCATATTAGACAATCTGAGAAAGGTAAAGATAGTTATTCCGTTCTTCTCAGTTCCATTTCTGCTTTCTTTGTGCCTCATATTCATCAATTCACAAGGGCCTTCAAAAAAGAAACAAAAATTTCTCTTTAAATGTGTGATCTCTCTCTGCCAAATGTAGTGACTTCATAGTAATTGTTTCAACCACATTCTTCTGCTGACCCAATACTTCATATGTGATAAGATTGAAAACATTCCCTTTTGCCGGGCACAGCGGCTCACGCCTGTAATCCCAGCACTTTGGGAGGCCCAGGTGGGCAAATCACGAGGTCAAGAGATCAAGACCATCCTGGCCAACATGGTGAAACCCCATCTCTACTAAAAAATACAAAAATTAGCCAGGCGTGGTGGCACACACCTGTGGGCCCAGGCACTCAGGAGGCTGAGGTGGAAGAATTGCTTGAACCCATGAGGCAGAGGTTGCAGTGAGCCGAGATTGCGCCACTGCACTCCAGCCTGGCGACAGAGCAAGACTCTGTCTCAAAAAAGAAAGGAAAGAAGAAAGAAAGAAAGAAAGAAAGAAAGAAAGAAAGAAAGAAAGAAAGAAAGAAAGAAAGAAAGGAAGAAAGAAAGAAAGAAAGAAAGAAAGAAAGAGAAATAAATCAAAGAAAATATCCTCTTTCATCTGCTGTTCAATTTGCTTGCTCTCCAGCTGCTTGCCTATAGTTTACATCATTCTCTCAGAAGTACAACCTTGACAATTCTGGGATCCTCCAACGGCGAGTTTAAACTCACTTGAATAACCATCCATAGGGCTTCTAATTATCCCATGAGTGAATCCAGTAATTGAGTTGAAAACAAATCTCAACCACAGCAAAACAGTTTTAGTTTGAGTGCAAGTTCTGAAGTGGAAACTAAAAATGTGAGACTAAAGTATTATTTTAAGGGGCTATTACAGGGAGAAAATGGTAAAAAAAAATTTGCCACTGACAAGAAGAACTACATAGGGGTTAGCAGCCACGCAGTGGCCTGAGGCCTTGGAGGTGATGGCCCCCCTGGCTGTGGCTATAAACTAGAATCAGCTGAGCCACAACAGTGAATCCCACAATGTTCTCTGACACCTCAGGCTGAACTCCTGCTCATGTAGACCTTCTGTCCTTGAACTTCACAGCTGCTCTCATGTCCTTTCTATGTTTGTCAATTCTGGGTTTTCAGCTCACTTTATTCCCTAGTTTT